ATAAATAATACTATTTAACAATAATAATTTAAAATCAAATTATAAATTGATATTTCTAAACATTTTAGCAATTATAGTTTTAGACACATAAAATCAGAGAAACTGAATACGTTTACGATATCTTAGGTGACCATAACAATTTTTTTTGGTTGCCCATAACAAGGGCCTTATTTTGACAGCCGGTTGCTCTGGAAAGTTTACTCCTCCTTCCCCATTTTCTCTTCTTCTCGGTTTCCCGAGAAACTTCGAGAAAATTGGAGGATCGACCGACGTCCTCTCTCAGATTCAGATGACTTCAGGTATTCACTTTTACATGAAATCTCAAAATTTTATTCCGTTTGTTTAATTTTTTGGATTGAATTTGTTATTTGGAAACATAGAATTGCTGAATCAAATTTTATGACCTGGGATATTGAAAAATTTTCAACTGCATGCTTCCAATTTCTAATTTTTATACCAAAAACTAGAATGATCTAATACCCCAATTGAATTAAATGTTTATATGTACTTGTTTGGTGTCTTAATCGGGTGAAAGTCTTGAACTTTAGTTCCCTATGTTGTCTGGGTTGGTTTGTTACGTTGTACGCTTGTTATCTGTGAATTGTTCTGTTGTTCCCAATAATTAATGGACATATCTTACAGATTTTGCTTTAAAAGTTCCGGCTGAACTCGAAGCAGCTTTGCGGTTGAAGACTGTGGGTTACTATGTAACGAAAAGGCCATGGCTTGGTATTGCATCTAGCTTATAACACCTTTTACATTTCATAATGTAGGAGGGACTTGATAAACTTTGTCTGGATTGCTTCTGTTGCTGCCTTAGTATTGTAGCTTAATTTCATCTTTTCTGGGGTTTTCTTTTTCTGTTTTAGATCTTTACGGAAAAAATGTTAGACCAGTTGCACCCTTTGGAAGCACAAGTAGCAAACCATATGTTGACCCTGCACTCATACACCGTAGCTTGCCAGATGAGCTGCTTTACGAGGTATTTCAGTGTTTCCGGCTCTTGCAGAAAAAGATAATAACTAGTTTTTACTAATTCTGTTTTCTGACCATCCTACTGTCTATTCCTAATATGCATATTGTATCCCACTTGGAGTTAAGGGAATAATTAATGATTTTATAGCTGATGTATTCTCCATGTGAGGGGCAGCACTTGAGTTTGAGGCTATTGTACTATAATTTGCATTGTTCCTAGTTCCTGCAGCAGACATAAAAAGTGGATATTGATGGGCAGGTCTTTGCGAGGATGACCCCATATGATCTAGGAAAGGCATCATGTGTTTGTCGGAAATGGAGGTATACAATTCGTAACCCTGTGTTTTGGCGTATTGCATGCTTAAGGGTTTGGCAGGTAAATTTGGTGTTGATTATGAATTATTTAGTAGGTTATTATATGTTAATAATCCGAGCTGAAAATTAGTGCCTCTTTTATGAAAGCTCTCTGGAATTGTGGAGAACTATAAGATTTTGCAGTCAAAATATGAAGGTTCATGGAGAAAAATGTGGTTATTAAGACCAAGGGTCCGAACAGATGGTAATTTAACTTCTTCTTCTTCTTCTTCTTCTTTTTTTATTTTATTTTATTTTTTTTTTAAAGAAAAATTTTGTGCGTTAATATTCTTGATTTTACAACTTCAGAACAGTTATTGTTTTAATGAAAACTAATTTCACTTCTTATCATAGGTCTTTATGTGAGTAGGAATACTTATATTCGTGCTGGAGTTGCAGAATGGAAGATCACCAATCCAGTTCACATAGTATGTTATCTCATGTAACATTCTTTATCCTTTTTCTTTTGTTCAGTTTCTAATTTCTTTTGTATTTTTGGTCAATGCTTATACAGGTCTGCTACTTTCGGTACATTAGGTTTTTTCATTCTGGCAAATTTTTATACAAGGTATATTCTTCTAAGGACCAGCTTTATTATGCAGAAGTATTAAAATGGTCTAAACCTGATTACCAATTGTAACTTACATTCAACTTTTATGTTTAGAATTCTTCCCAAAAAATAAAGGATGTAGCAAAATGCATGAACTTCCGAGCATCTAAAGCAGACTGTGTTTTTAGTGGCCATTATACACTGTCAGATGACAAGGTCAGGTTCTCTTCTTTGCATTATTTAAGTTCATGTTTTATACTTGGATGGTTTTCAGTGCCTTTATATTCAATTCTTCATGTATTTTAAACAGTTCAGTTGGTTGTCCTTGTCCACCTTCATGCTGGTTCTATTCAAAAGATCAAAATGCATCTTTTATATATCTTTAATGATCATATAGTAACTGCTTTTTCAGGTTGAAGCTGCTGTCTTGTACCCTGGTATGCGTCCCACTGTGCTCAGAATCCGCTTAAGGTATTTTAGTTTCAGGAGTTAATTTTTTTTTTTTTCACTCGTTTATCCTCAAATACACTATGTTCATTGTATTTCAGCATTTGATTTTGCAGACTATTGGATCAGATGGTGCTTGCTGTGTCGTAGTTGCAATTGTTGTTTATTAGTAATTGGTCTTAGTCTTAACATGTCAAAGTTGGAATATGAATTATCAAAATAACATTAAAATGAGGTTGTAAGTTGTGGCTTCAGGAATGGAGGAAACATAGAAAAAAGCAGCTTTCCTTCTTCTTCTTTTCCTGATCTTCAGTAGAAGCCATCTGTATCCATTTTGCTTAACTGTTTTCTTCGACAGGTTACGAGGAACAACAGCAGGGGCTAATAATCGAATGGATTTGGTTTCACTAGTTACTAGTGGTGTCGACAGTAATGAGGTTGGTGGTCCTGAAGAGGATATCCTTGGAGTAGTTGAAGGGTGGCAGGATGATGAAACTCACAACCCAGATGTGCCAGCAGTCTCACACAAAAGGGGCCTAACACCATTTGTCTTTGTACCTTTTGAAGAGGTAAATTTTCTTTTCCCTCGTATTGTTCCTCATGAATAATAGACTGAAAAATGCTTCAGAGTGACACAGTTTCCTTGTCCCTAGAAGTTGGCCTTGTTTTACAAGTACGTTACTAGTGTTTTTTTTCCTTTTAAGCTAATTGCTTTTCCTTCATCACTGCTCTTTTAGGTGGAAACATCAGTTCTGAATCTTCCCGTAGAGAAGATGGATTATTTTGTACCTGGCTGAGTTATCAAGTGACCATGGATTGCTCTCCTTCTGTAAATAAATAACAAATCCTCAAAGCATTTGCATTTTGTATTGATTCCCTTATTTTATAAATCCATGTGCGGAATTTTCATGGGGTTACCATGAAGTCAGGACATGGAGCAAGATGTATTTGTTGCTTTTATGGAATGTCATGCCTTGTAGTGTTATTTGCTGCTGTGATTTCGTATCAACTCTCATTGTAAAAGAGATATTATGAACCCAATATTGTGAAATATATTTGCACAGCAGGTGAGCAGTGCTGTTAATTCAACTCAATGCATTACAATTCAACATGGCAACATGTGACCATCAGAACTGTCTCTCAAGTTATTATTGCACCATCAATAGTGTTATTTGCTGCTGTGATTTCGTATCAACTCTCATTGTAAAAGAGATATTATGAACCCAATATTGTGAAATATATTTGCACAGCTGGTGAGCAGTGCTGTTAATTCAACTCAATGCATTACAATTCAACATGGTAACATGTGACCATCAGAACTGTCTCTCAAGATATTATTGCACCATCAATATCCATACATAAGAGTCGAATACATTTTGCACCATAAACACATATAACACCACCACATGCATCACAGGCTTCTAAAGAAGCTCATATATTGGATTTGAGTTCTTCTGAGTGCAAAAGAGAATTCCAAGATGGGTTCCGTGGAAGAAATGTGTCCTGCAAACAAAACACCAAGAACAAGTGAAGCAACATGGTGAAGAAATCTGATGTCTAAACCAGGCTACACAAGATTTTGAGTGAAACAATTACAAGGACTGTGCGTTGTCTGAATGGTTGAAATATTTATTATCCATCACATAAAATTACAAATTTATAATTATGATGTTGTGTTAAATAAATGTGATATCTTCATCAATAATCTGTTGGTCCGAATGAAAGGAATTTAGTTTCTTTAGCAAGATCTCAAGTGAAAAGAAATATTTAATCTAGTCTTGTGAATAAAGAAACAGACGTCAGAACAACTTCCCATGATGGGGTTCGACTCAGGTCGATTTCGGATTATTCAGCACCTAAGTTGATTACCAAATAACGGAAGGATAATACAAAACAAAAATAAATGTGATATCTTATTTTTAAGTTAATATATAAAATACTAAGAACAAACTCAAATAAAAAAGTCAGTCATATAAAAATATGTTATAAATTATTATATAGTATTATAATCCTATTATTTTCAATTATCCTACGTGCATAAAATGCAGTAAAGATGTTAAGATGCTGCTGTATTTATAAAATAATTCTCGCACTTTCAACCTTCAGAGTCAATTATTGCAGGGAAAAGAAATAAACTTTAACTCACAAAATCACAAACTAAGAAACTGCAGACGAAATTGATTCCTAATTTCCACATATCCAAACACAGGGTAAGAAGATCAAGGAATTCTACCCATCCAATTGTGTGATGAATTGAACCCATGAAAACACAGAGAGCAGGAATGTCAATTATGGATTTTAAAACTGAATTAAATACGGAATTGGACTTACCGAGACGTAGGAGCATGTGGGTATGACAGAGAGGGTGTGGGACTTGGCGTGATTGAAGGCGGCAACGCAGAGATGAGAAGCCAAGCCCATCCCTCTCTTTGAAGAGGGCACAAAAGTATGGACCATGTCCATCACTCTGCCGTCGTTTCTTAGCACGTACTCTAAGTAAGCTTTCCTGTCCTCTGTCTCGAACCTCCGGTGGGTCTCGTTCCACACGATCTTCGGTGAACTCGATGCTGCCCCGCCGGTAGCCATCTCTCTCTAGTTCTGTCCTACGCAATGCAGACTCAAAGAACCTCCCGATCTACGATAATACAGAGCAGGAGTAAATTTTTTTTTTTTAAATGTTAATTTTGTTAATATTTAAATAAATATGTTA